TTATTGTGGCATTTAATATTACTTATATGTTTAATTTAATCTTGATAAAACGCCGTGATTTAAAAACCAGTATCTTACATATAGGCGACGTCTGTTGTTTCCCACGCTATGCAATTGATGTAATGTTGACCAGCCTGTCAAGCCCTCGTTCTATAACAAAACCTTGTTGCTTCAGTCATGTACAATTTAAACATACCTGAAGGACTCTTTCAAATTGCATTGCAATTATGTATGAATGCAGTTAATAATTAAAACAGTTTGACTCTAGTACAATTGCGTTTCATTCAGGTAAAGGCCATTCTAATAAAACTGTCTGTACTCGTGCACGTAGTTTTTGTGAATAAACTGAAAATCTGAAAATACAGTATTCATGTTGTATTTGTGATCTTTCTCGTGTCGCGCTATTTAAGTTAACCAATATATAACAAAACTATTGCCCACGCTTATTTTATGTTATTAAAAAATGTTAGGGTATACAAAACATTTAATCGTTGTGGCCTGGCGTGTATAAGTGTGGATTTGCAATGTGCTCGTGGCTTTATTTGGTGAATAATTCCGTACCTTCGGTTTGCACAATAAACATGGTTAGGAGGGTGTTTTGTTGATGGTAGGATCCATCTTACGCACACGTATGAAACATTTTAAGGAATCTAGAAAGAATTGTAATTATTGTACAAATACTGTTGCTTTAAACGATATCTCACACACGAATGACGTATTATATGAAGCGTCGCGAAAAGTCCCCAGGTGTGTGACAGACAATTGCGAATTGTGTCCATATTTTTGGACAAAGTGTTTCTAACACTACTGTCGATGCCGGTTTAAATTGCAACTAGTGTTCAATCATATATTGCTTTTGTAAATCTTTGAATCCGAATTTGATCAATTTTAGTTAAAAAATAACTAGCTTTTTTATGCAGCGTATAAATATTGAATATTAATTTGGCGGAAGCGTTGTTAATTAAGGTTATTAATCTGTAAATAGACAATAGGACACATTGCATAATGTAAAGTATGCATGTTAGATATCAGTTGAGTATAAAGGCAGGCGTTCAAACCGAACAGGTACGGTATATGCTCTTCTTGCTTTATTCACATTTACAAAGTAGTATTGATTTTTTTAAAAACTGAACGTGCCTACGTTCATATATTGAGAAACAATAAGAGGTTATTCTGAGAATACTTCAATGATTGTACGAAATTATTACGATGATCGTATCGACCGATGTGTTCGAAAAGATCGACGTGATCCTGTCCTGTCTGGCTTCATACATTGCAGTATTCGCATGATAGCCTTATAGATTTTTACATATGTTCCTGTTTGTAGTCATAATGGAGTAGATGGTGAACGGAAACGATACAAAGTATGCAATTATATTTGTTTGTGGTTGTGTTTCCGATTAGATTTAGTTTCTTTATAGTTGATATTCTTGAATTTTGAGATGTTATCTACACCACAAACTTGTGTTTGAGCGAACATCTTAACGCAAAACAGTCGGTGTGATGTTCTTATCCCGAGTTTTGCTAAGCCGTACGTAACTCTGGCGAGAAACATTTTCTGCAGGTCAAACGAGTACGATATTACCTGACCACATTACATCACCGTAGAGAGTAGTTTTTAGATACTCCCGTAATGTTGTCTGCTATAAATGAGTATATGTACTTCGACAGTCGATTGAAAGATTGTGTAGAAAATGTACGACCATTTCAAAACAATAGACAATAACAATTAATACAAATCAGCACATTGTACACTACTAATAGTAGTAGACAACCATTTCCGCGCGTCTTCGCTATTCCACTTTACGAGGGAAGTCCGACATCATTTGGTCACGTAATATTAATTGTTCTCATTCGATCTGCAGAATATTACGTGTGGTCTTGGCGCCAGCCCCTGTTTGTGTTGTGGTTTGGTGGCCGTCTTGAATATTCAGGACCCAGATGCCGTTTTTCATGAGCCTCAAAAACCTGGACACGCTAAAACACCGGGTGTGGAATCAATGCGTTCATCTAAAATTGTTATGACACCTACTTGCTTGGGCTTCGACAATGTTGCTTGTGATATTAAATCAATATATTTTCTCACCTGTTTAGTAAGTCTCTCAGTCCTAGTGAATCTTAGTGAGTACAATAGGTGATTCCAGAATTCACAAATGAAATAAACAATTTACTTCTAATGCATTTCCATTTTGTAGAAATGGGTACACTGGAAATACGATTGAACATATTGTCGTCTTTTGACCAATTTAAATGACATCTTTCGTATTTCTGAATCTAGTTATGCCTGCCTCAACTTGGTACGACATTATGTTTGATTTTTTGTTGCAATCGGCCAAGGAGTGCTTAAGAACACAATATAAAATTTGGGTTTCTGAACCAGTATCTGAGTCAGACAGCTTGTATTAGATAATAAAGAAATTTACATGCATATGTGCATCTTTCAGTATGCCCTTGAATGAGCGAGGTTTTGACTTATTAGCTGTCTTCAGGACAGGCACAGTTGAGGACATTTCAATAATGGGGTTTTATGGTCCCCATTAAGTTGAATTAAAACAATGTGCGTATGTACATCCAGGTAATTGTAAAATATTTTAACAAAAATGACCGAAGTTTGCAGAAGAATACGCCTGATGGACAGACGAACGCATGACCACAATGTAAATTATTAGTCCTTTTTTGGATTATAATAGGGCAAGAAACACATGAGTTTTGAATGCGATGTTTTACCAGGAAATAACAAATACGATTACGTAAATTATTTGCGAGTCGCAAAATCCGGAAATTTGACAATATGACACATTGCAGAGGATGAGTGACACACAGAAAAAACGATCTATATTATAGGTTAAACAGTTCTTGTTTCAAGGAACTACGTAGATAACGCATTATTATAGTATACTATTTCACCATGCTTTCAAATACAGCAGCTGTGTTTCGTCATAGAATAAAACCGATCAGAGGAAACTACAACAGTGTTCATCATATTCAGGTGCATATACCCTCAATGATGTCTTAATAACCGATGATATTTCAGGGATGATCACAGAAACATGACACACGACCGCCGAAATCATCCTGAAAATCCCTGAAAATAATACACCGGGATTGCTTAGATACATTGATATACCGGCAAAAGCCCGGCTCTGTTGAATTAACCATATCGACCACAGTCTGACCCTATGCATGATTTATTTCTTAAATGTCAGTTTGTTCAAATCAACAAAAATACAGTGCGTTTTTTCGCTGACTATACATCTTTGATCGTACAGAGATGTATGTGAATGATATGTACCCTATATGCCAAATTTAAATGAGATCGTCCTTGAAAAATATATTCAGCGAGGCATTTTGTAGATCATAAAACAACGTTTTGGGGCTTCAGTAGAATGATGGAATAACAATCACACTGGTTTACTGTATAAATATTATAAAAACAGAACTACAATGTCTGCGAACATTGTCGTATAAAGAGTTTCGTTATCCGTTTAACAAATAGAGCTGGAACCCATCAATAAAAATCCAACATTTGTGTGTGTTCGTGTCGAATGTCGGCGTCCTTATAATGACTTCTAAATCTTCCTTTCCTGTAGTCCACGCTGATAACATTGGGCCTGACAGTTGAAATCCCATACAAAACTCTTGTATTCATGTACCAGCAAAAGTGAATTTGCGGTGTAAAATTATAATTGTCTATGCTTCAGCCGAAATAACACATGTACAATAAACAGTTACAGCAAAGTTACCTTATTGGTAGACCTAGCAATTTAGTTAAACTTTCCACACTGTAACCGCTAAGAGGGAGATTAAATTGCCCTTACATATACTTGATATGGTTTGATAAATTGCAAGCGAACAAAATTGTGACATTGGATCATCAATACATCGTGTATATCTATAAAAAACATCTCTATATATGTATGTGATATCAACTTAAATGACAGCCTTGAGTAATGTATGTGTGAACTGCTTATTTGAAAAGCAAATATCACGTCCGGGATTACATCTAGGTACTTCACAGCATTCAATCAAATAATTGTTTTCAAGTTTTACTTAATATCATGACGTAAATACTCTGCAAGTTAAAGAGTATTTACTTGAATCTTTGTATGTTGGGAAAAAGTCATCAGTATCCACTTTAAATGGTTGCATGAATGTAATCAATGTGAATTGTCGTGATATATGAGTTTGGTCGCATTCAGATGATGAATGGTGACAATTCCGAGATTACATATTATTTACAGCTGTCTTGTAAAGACGGCGGCTTACGGTTATAAGTTTATATGACAGATATTAATGATTTCAGATTATTTCAACATTGATTTATATGGGTTTCTGCATTTTAACATTATTTGAAATCTATAGCTAATTCATAAATAAAATGAAACTCTTAAATTGAGCCGTACTTTCCAGCGTATAGAATTCAGCTTGTTGTTTGTTGAATGTGTCTTTTAATGTCGACTTCGATTTTATCAATTTTAGCCTGTTTGTCAGTTTTCGATTGGACGGGCTGATGGGTAGTTGAGTGTAATTAGGTGTTCGTGATAACACCCAGACCCGGTGTCAATCAGACTAGATTTGTCATTTACTCTGGAACAACACACGAAGAAAATACTATAACAAACTCTAGCTACTATAATTACCAGATTTTTATCATAAAGATAATGCTTATAAGGATTCGTTATATGTAAATTAGCAAAGGCAAACGTTAAGAAGAATGATATTTGAAAGATTGTGTTTAATCATTGATGCAGTATTTTTCTCTTTTTATGTACTTCTATAATTTATTTGATAATTGTGAGCTAAATGGACATCATTTTTTATTAGCTGTAGGTTTTGTTCAAAATGTTGGAAAACGATCTGCGAAAAATGTAATAATTTATGTTGTATTTGGTGACAAATATAGATTTTAGCGATCAAAGAGCTAAACTACATTGATTCAAAGCACAGTGGTTTACTGAAGCCGCATTTTCAGTTTGATGACTAGGTTTCATTTATTGATAATGATTCGCCCAGTAACTACAGTAAGTTAATGGTCGAGTGACGTTTGCGCACAGCAACGTAAATAGGAAATTATACGAATGCCAGTGAAGTCAATCCCTTAATTCTATTAAAATGTCCTGTGGAATCAGACTTGTAAATGGTTTGACATTGTTAATGATGCGTTAATGATTTTAGTGCTTTAAGACTTGTATTTATATCTCATTAGGAATATAGAGGAAACGTAGCAGAGACAAATGAGACCACTAAACAATATATTCTGAGTTAAATTACGCGTGTGTTTGGCATAGCCATGGCTGATACATCAATACCTGGTTATAAATTAGGAGACTATACGTTTTGAAGAGCGGGATATCTAAAACACCATCGAGATTTTTGAGCTGATAAACTTAATGCTATAAACGTTATTTGGTGCAATATTTTGCATATATTTATGTATTGTTCTATAATTATTATACTATAATTATTTACTATAATAAAATGTTAGATCAAACAGACCTAATTTTCCATTGGCTCAACAGAAAAATATGCAGGTGCATTTTGTGAACAGTGACAAGTAGACTTTGACGTTCAAACAATTTCGTAATTTATCGTGATTTTGTGTTAGTTTTTCCACTTATATTCTTGTAATTTTCCTTCAGGATTATGGAATAACGCTATTTTTATCATTACACTGGGGAGATCCACGGCTGGAGTTCAATGGTTCAGAAGCAATTGATCTAAGATCGGATTCACAGTTGCTCTCACAGATTTGGACTCCAGATTTATACTTTGTAAACGTCAAGGAAGGTTCTTTACATGAGGTGACAGTCAAGAACAAACACATCAGAGTACATCCAGATGGTCGTATTTTGTACGATATGAGGTGAGTTCTAAGAAAAAAGTGGGCACTGCCCTCCTAAAATGATCACAAGGGTACTAACTTACATTAGAGATTCTGATAAACCAAGCTTGTGAAGTATAATAGTGAAAGTTTGATCCTCAATGAAAGACGTAATAATATACTCGTGTATAATATCATCCATGTATAAAATTCTGCTGAAATTCCAATTTCATACCATTCGTCGACCATATTATCAGTAATAACATACTTTCCATGATATGGATTCCATTATTAAGTATCTGACGGTGCATTCTGCTACACAAACAACATACTCGTTATTTAATCAGAGCAACTCATCAAGGAATTTATCCCCGGAAGGTCACTTTAAGGTTTAAATAAAAGAATGCCGAAATACTGAAATAAAGAGTAATTAGAAGCCTCTGAGATCACTCCAATCGTAACTGCGACGAGACGCAGGGCGAAAAAACTCACATGTGCTGCTCTCAGCTTACTATAAATTAATCTTTTGTGTTCCCGAACGGGGTAATGGAAATTGCACATGAAGCGCACCTAACCCTAGACTATTGATAAGTATATTAGGGTCGATGATCAGGGGATTGTATTATCGTCATTTTTTGTATCTGAAAAGCTTCCATAACGCTGCATTCTCCACTGAATGACAAATGCACTGAAGCCTCTCGTTTTGCAGAAGACTACAAGTATATGATTATATCGACAATAGTAACATTAATAGACGTGTATTGCATATATTTAAGCAGTGGTCGCTTGAACAAAAGTAAAACTACAAAGACATATCAATATCAGTGTAAACAGTGTATTGGGTCTCATTTTCCGACGTTCGCATCATCTACTGTCTCGTTGTTGTAACATGATTAACGTTGATAATTCATCTTTCAAAATGTCCATTCATAATTTAATCTTGCGGTTTTATCAGTTGTAAACAAAGGAAGATACAAAATGACACTTACAAATTCGTGTAATGATTTGATAATAATTCAAATTCTCTCAATCGACTAGACGTAATAAAAACTATTGAATGTATGGATTTGCTTGCTATAAACAAACTTTTAGTATATAGGCCGTAAGCAAATTAAATCTATTGGGGCAAAAATGTTCAATTGAGACCCAAGAGAAACAATTAAATTACTTTGCTGTACTGGTTATCTCATTTTCTATCAACTTACAGTAGACCTCTAATTGTAGTCTATTCATTTCGTTGACTCTAATATTAGTAGACGACATACATTTTCTTATCGTTCTGGGTATGATACTTTTACAATCACATTACCAAAGTGACCAAGTCGAATATTCATATAAAGCCGGATATTCATGTCACGTGACTTATATTAATAGAATTAGTATTAAGAACTGTAAACTCTTCATTTTAGTTTTACCGACTGCTTTTTTTGAAAAACGTCAATTCTTCTAATCCGTCATTTGAATGATTAGGTTTCGGATGTGGTCGCATCAGATGTTGTCATCGTCATATTCGTTAAAAATCAAGTATGTAACCAGGTGAACTGATGTCTCGTCTCATAAGATAGTAACACACATACAATGTGACACAGCTTGTGGGAAAAGTCATAAATTGGAATAATATGTTGTTGAGTGCCCCTGCTGACAATAGAATGTATCTGCCTGGGAATGTAAAATTATGACAGTAATATTGCTGCAAAAAATTGTTTATTGACATGAAAACAGCTTTGTGGTGTTATGCCAATGTGAAGTCATTCGTTATCTTTAGTTGTAGTCGCTATTTGTTCAAAAAATAAGGCTAGGCGAGGTCTAGATACAGGTTAACGACAGTATACTACTTCATTCTCATTCAAACAAAGTGATTGTTGTTAAGACTGCTGAGAACCAATCAACGTCATGCATTTATTGAAGATACAAGGGGGACTTGCAGTACATATGCATGGCAATTATTTAAAAAAAATCAGAAGAGTAGAGCCATAATACATGTACATGAAAGCTGCCGAATCCTCGGGGGATTAAATCTTTCTTCGTTTAATTATTAAATCATGTGAACTATGGACTGGAGAACACGATAACCGGTAATACGCAACGGTGGGTAATCATGTTTCAAATGAGCTACTTGGATTCATAAAAATATAACGAATATTTCAAGATTGTTTTCAACTATGTTGCAAGCAGAAGTTTCTCAGGGCATACTCATATTATCTTAGTTTCAATTGCTGAAATTCGGTACTACTGAAATCAACATTCGGTGTTTCTGGTGTGCTGCCCAAATTATAAATTGTTAATGCGTGCGTTGGCTTTTATATGAAGAATTATCATCGGCGAGTATTATTTGTTAGTTACTTATATTCGCATGCAGCAAAGAAGGGTTCCCTAAGTGATTTATCCATCAATCCATTCTTCCATTCATTGAAGCTTAAGGAATATCTTTATGTCTGACATTCGATTGATAAGTGTGTTCATAGTTTGATATAATGTGCACGAGTGACCGCAAAGGTTGTATTAATCTCAAGCGACCTTGACGGCAATCGCCCGTCATCCGCAATCTAAATTAAAATGGGTCGATGAACATATTTAGTAAATATAAGAAATGAAGATTTCCTGGCTTCTTTATCAACTAATTAAACAAACAATATTGAAAACAATTTTGTTTTTTTAAGTTTATATTATATATTCAGCTCTTACTAAAGCTCTATTTAATATTTGATACACACGTTATTCAAATACCAAAGGAAAGCGTACGAAGACAGTTATTGTGATGATAGTAGCCTGATTCAAAGATTGTGAAATGTAATGTTCTAAACTGAGGTTTGTCTGAGTCTGCACTGTTATAGTAAATCAAGTTTTCTCCGATCGCCGTATACTTATATCCATATTCTATATAATTAACAGACCTACACACACAAAATCGTTGATAATGTTATCTTCATTCTCCGCCATATTTTATTGTATGCCTTCGCCGTCGCGTAAACTCAATACATAGTTTCACAAATAAGCAAACATGTTTTCCATAACTTGAAGATTTTATTGACCGTTGGTAATTGAACAAACCATTATAATATAGTTAATATCTGTCATTTATCCCTGGATTTGTCAACTGTCGGTTGCAGTTATCTGAAGTGGAAATAACCCCCCCCCCCCAAATTTAGATTCCTAAACAAAACAAGTTTGAACTAATTAAAATCAAACACCTGAAAAGTACACATCACTACATAGTCAAATCAATAAGAGAAAATTATATGGACCATGGTATACATTCAAAGATATCATGCCACTCCAACTCCAGCGTGCTAGAAAATCATACCTCATACATTCTAAAAGATTTCAACTGCGTTTTATGTACAGGACATAATACAATACAATGTTCTGGTAATAACCTTCAAAACACACGAGGTGTATATATTGTTGATTTAAGCCACATTAGAAAATAATTCGTTCAAATGACATATGTCTACGCCATGCCACTGTGTGAGCTCAGATCACACAGCGATTTCTTGCATACAGCATCTGCTTTATGAAACACTTGAATTGTGCCAGTCATCTATAGTTGCCAAATATAGACTCATATATTTGATTGATAGAATCCTAGGGTCCAAATGCCTGAAAAATATTTCTTCTAACGAAGGTGCGAAATGTCATCACAAACGTTTTTCCCGAATCACCTCAAAATACGCTATTGTACAGGGGGCGCAACCTCGATACGTGTTCACAGTAAACGTAAGCTGTCTCACATTAGTAGCTGACAAAAAATTCACAGCTGACGTTCAATGCGCACGGGTACGTAATGGCCAGCGGCCAGGGATGGAAGAAACGACATTCTAACATTTACATGTTGTGCGCTAAACACGTTTTTTGATTAATTGATTGATTGATTGATTGATTGATATAAACGCATGGCACCAAACAGCACATTCCCATCAAAGCAGGTGCTTTGCTCGCCAATAGACTGGAACAAAGTCACAATAAACATTGCTGTCAAGAGGGTGTGGCAAATACTCATTTACTTGCATAGCTTATAAAATTACTTTGTCGCAATACGGTGTTGATATGACGCTGCGTATCTTTGAAGTGACGCCGTAAATAAGTTGGCAATTACCTATATCACTTTCTTATATTATACAGGGTAAGCCTAACGTTGATCTGCCATCTTTATCTTCATCGGTTTCCAATGGACGAGCAGAGCTGTGGGATTCAATTAGAAAGCTGTGAGTCGACAGTATGCTTTAATTTCCTTAACCTCAATCAGTTTGCTATTATAGTGATGAATGGCGCTCATATATATTGTTTGGGAGCCCCCCTTCAAGATATGTACAACGACATTTCAATAAGCGTTCAAAGTAATTTGACAAATTAGTCAAAATTAAGTACCGTGTACCGTTCTCTTCAATGACAATTACATAAGACATGATGTACCGAATCTGGTATATTGTATTTTTTAGTGCTTTTGATTCAAGTAACGGTCAAATTAATAACGCAATTCAAATGTACGTGACTTGCATCGGTTATGGGGTAGATATGCAGTAAATGAGATTTAGAGAATGGAGTGTGGGTTTAGTTGTCGACGTAATTATCAAACTGTAGACTATTAGATTGTTTCGTAATGTGTCTCCTGTACACAATGCATGTGACTATAACTGATTCAGTTACTTGTAATGCACCTACTCAAACAGAACTGGGTTTCTGGGGTTGAGTTTGGGTAAAATATTATTACATATAGCAATGACAACGATATAATCATGAATATTACATATCTGTCATCGTAACAAGTGTTCTTTAAATTTGTACATAAACAAAATGAATGAGATGCACAGCTTGATCATAATTTGTCCATTTTATCATTAGTTGGCTATACAACGCGGGATATTCAGTTATTCTGGGACGAGGAAGTCGAGGTGCATCTAGACTCTGAACTGGCAATGCCTGAGTTCTCTATTGGCGAGCCCGTGGCTTTCAGAAAGGTGCTGTTTTATCCTGGTTTAGGTAATTAGTCGGTATATTTGAATGGAAATATATTACCATGTCTTCATTTTATTAGGATGTAATAGCAATGCATACTCATTTTAATGTGAAAATAGTAATAGTCAGACAACATTCATAATCATTATTATTATATATCCAGTCATGCCAATAAATAAATTTATTGATTGATTCAACGATTCGTCATATTATGAATATAATCACAATTGTGTTGCTTGACACATAGCGTGATGATGTTATGTAATTGTTGCATTGGAATTTACTATTAGTGATATTGTTCTATGTGTAAATTGTAATTCAAATATCTACGTAAAATATTGTATTTTTAGAGCGAACATCCGGTCATTTTCAACTGGCATCCACAACCGGTGAAAAAAGGTCGAAAACTCTCAAAACATTTACTTTGTGCTAGTTGTTGGGACTCTCCTGAACAGTATATAATAAGATTGCAAGATATCCAAATTTGGTGGTTCAAGACTGTCTCATACTTGAGTTTGTGCTGTGTTTTTGAATTTAGCCGTTTTCACTGTCTCTTTGGCCGGCGTTCCGCAGTAGCTCGCGCAGAGCCCTATAAAAATACGTGGTTCAGTGGTGCGTGTCTTGGCAACATAGTATATTCTGTGACGTGGTTTCGCCCCTGAGAATATAAGATAAGGTATGCAACTGATGTAATATGACATGAAGATACCCTTTGAAGTCACGTGATTTGTGAGATGGTCACAAAATCGCAGCAGACATTTGCTAGTTCCCTTGTGCAATTCCAGCGGTTGTACATGTTCTGCCTCGCTGAATAGTTACAGGCTCCTCATTTGCGTTTCTACAATAAATCCTTCCCATGGATATTGACTTGGTTATTTGATTCTATTGGTCAGAATGAACAAACGGCGCTCGTGTCGGATATGCTCTTTATCGTATTTCAACATACATGGTTATGAAAGCTGCATAGCGTTATTATACAAACACATCATATGCATATTTTTGTATCTATAATACTTACTAAGGAGGCAGATTTTTAGATAAGGTTGTGCTAAAGGGCGGTGATCGTCGCGCTGCACATGTGCGACATTTGTGTTGACAAACATTGATTTTCCCACAATCCAATGCGCTCTTCTAATGGAAATCACAAGTCTGAAGTTTGGCATGGGCACGATTTGCACTAATTACCGCCGATGACTCCTGCGATACCTTCCAATTCTCTACAAATACCTAATTAAAGCTTGATAACGTCTCAGTTTGTACTCGTTGATCTGCGCAACAGTCAAAGTCGCCATCTCTGTTTATATGAGACCCGTATATCTCGCGCATGCGTGGCGCGACGACTACCACCCTTTAATTAGAAACCTCGAGGCATCAGTGCAGATTATAATTTCTGAAATGAACTTTTTTCAGATCACCTGGTATTGTTTCCTGGTAGTTTTGCCCGATTTAGCAATATCCTCAAATGTGTCATACAAGTCAGTTACATATTTCATAAAAGTAATACTGTGTGGTGTTTTATTGTAGGTTACTACGACCAACTTCAGTGCACATTCCCACTTTCTCGAGAGCTGATTTTCTACGTAATGGAGTATTATGTACCGTCGTTCTTACTTGTAGTGCTCTCGTGGGTGTCTTTTTGGCTGAATATAGAAGCATCACCGGCTAGGGCCAGTTTAGGCATCACCACTGCACTCACTTTAACAACGCTAAGCTCGGCTGCACGTGCGCACATGGCGAGGGTTTCATATACCAAGGTACGTCTTTTATCATGCATTAATTTAAAACGGGAGAGTCGCCACCTGCGCATGCGGCAGACGGCCATAGCGTGCTGTTGTTTACACACAAGCGTCTACCCATGGATCTTTACGTTTTTGGCGTGTTATTTTTATCGTCACTTGAGACTTAATTCCCACGCGTGCGCATTGGGGACGACCCCTCCGCTTTAACTCAGTGTTATATCACGCAATTGCATTCCCAACGTTTTAGTATGATAAATGTGCCTGCGGATGACAGGATGAGAGTGACCATTACATTTGCACTCTGAGATAATTTCTGTAGTTTATTGAGTATTGTGACTATTGTCGGAAAATAATCAGGGGTTCGCTCGTACTCACCATTGCGGCTCGAACAATGGCGAATCTATGTAAAACCATGCACGTCTGTAAACTATTCGAAGACATTCACAGACATAACATTAGAAATATTCTAGTTCGATCGCGATTTAACGTAAACAGGTTCGGAATAACAAATTATCAGGTGGTGACAGGACCACTTCAGAGATTCAATTCAACTCATCGCTTGATAAGAGCAAACATACATCTAGTAGGTTACATTCATAGAATTGGTTTATATTCATGTATCAAGAAGGCGGCATGCAAAGTAATGAGGCTCCAAGTCTTTGATCTATCGCAGATAAAGTATTCCTAAAACCGTATTTTCCCCCATTTTGCCAATATGACAGTGTGAATTAAACATCTGCGTCCTTGTAAAACGGATGTCAGTATTGAATAGATGGAGCGTTCTGGCGTGCGGTTTATTTTGTAAAGTATTCGTTTGACAGCATCATGTAACCTCTGGCACGTTAAGCATTTAAATTAGCAGATTATCGTCAACATACAGATGCACACTCATGTTATTACTTCATTGACATACTTAACTTGTCAAAGTGGTGGCCGGATTAAAACCTGTTCATCATATATTGGCGAATAATAGTTCCCAATTAAATGCATAAAACACTCTCTTAAACGTATAACACGCGTCCAATGCAGAGTGTTGTTGTTTTGTAGTGGATCAATGCTACACTGCATATGCGCATGCGCCGAGAAACAACAAACACAAATTTGCGTAAGTGTACTTAAAATATTTAAAATAATGTTAACCTCGACAATCGGCACAAAATGACACTCTTATTATTGAAGAAACATCCATCAAACAACGTTTCAGAGAAACATTTGCATTGCAATTGGACACATTATTAGTCAACTATACGCATTAGGGCAGAGCCTATCTCATCTGAAAACAAAGTCATTATTGTACACTACAAATGTTTGTTTCATTCAAAACATATATAATTACAAATAACTTAAAGCCATGATACACGGGGCAAGTTTTGTTGACAACAAAAGTTGACTCGTGTATCATACAATGTTGCAAGTTGTATCTGTAGTATACTAGTAATTATTAGAATAGAGTATATTTGATTGAGAAAATGTAACATTTCTAATATTTGGACTTTAAATATCAATGACGTTTCTATGTGAGTATTATAGTCAATAGGTGTATGTATAACGTGTCTATGACATATCATTATGGTATGTTTGGAATACGCTGTATTAAGTAATAGATGACAACTATACTCGCTGCACTGAGCCGTAACAACCTTCTTCCGCGTCCATTTTAAATCGAGGTGACAACTAATGTTGAACTCTGTCATAAAATGCAACTTATGTTTCAGCACACTGCAACTTTTGTTGTCAACAAAAGTTGCAGCTTGTTGATCCGTGCTAGATGTTGTATGTTAAAAACAATCGTTGATGAGTAATATGTGAACCCGCATTGAAACATGCGTGGCTCTTTATATAGGCATACAATGAAAACATTGCATTTTTTGTTTCTCTAATTTTAGGCAATCGACATATGGATGCTTATATGTTCGGTATTTGTATTTGCTGCGTTGTTGGAGTTTGCTATGACGAGTTATGTGCACACTAAAGCGACTGGGATGTCCAAAAAGTACAGACATATACCATTGGTAAGATATATTATTAAGTTTTATTCTCAATCAAACAATCAATGTATTCTGTACAAAATCATTGAATTCCCGAGCAGTACACAAGTTGTCATATTGTTAGTTTCATTGTTAGTGGTGATTTAAATCGGGTCGTTTTCGACAATCCAAACATAACACCTATCCAGCGAAGCAATTATGATACAACTAGCTTAGTTACCGAGACTACAAAGAATAAACAATTATGATGGAACTGACTATGTAGATGACATGTCAAGGTTTTTTTTACGGAGTGTTCGTATTGAATTAAGTTACACACTCGTCGAGTTAATGAGTACTGATGTTATGAATTAAAGCACTCACGATAGACAGTTATCGATTTCTAGAATGCATTTGCTGATGGATTCTAGTCAAATAATATTTCTGTTCATATTATGAAATTGTAACATTTACAGATTATTTTGATCGTGTCATGCATGGCGCCTGTCAAACTCAGTGATACGTGCTAATTGTTTTGAATATTTCAGCAATGCATATGATAAGTCTTCATATCTCAGCACGATGAAATAAGATTAATGCTTCTTTCAGAAGGTGTCAATAAAAATAGCAAGGAATGATATTAACCGTTCTCAAATCGACTTATCATCATATTATTGTTTGCAAATCACTGTTCTGTCCCTGTTCATAAACAGGTTAAGGAATTCGTATTTTAATTGGGAAATTGACATTTTGAGTTATATGCAAGAATTGTTAAAGCGTTATGTCATCAGTAATTTTGTTTTTCACAGCCCATCCCATAAACCTAGATGACTCAAATTTCTAAGTAACACGTTATCCCTTTTTACGAGTAGCTGTCTGTTTAATGCAAGTAGATATGGGCCTACATACGTAACAATATTTGCCATGACTGCTAAGCCCCGAGGTGTCAAATTGTGTTGTGGGCATTTCCTTTGATTTCCTCTGAAAACTATTATCCTCTAGAGCACGATTAAGCCAGTCTCGGTGGTACTAATGAAGACGAGAAAGAACTAGGCTTACAGAAAAAATCGTATGTTTTTTTTTCTAGTAACTGCCAAATAAACGTAATATAACTGTTTCCCACAGGACTCTCCAGTAAGCAACAGCCCGCTGAAGAGGCGTATAAGATCAACCGAGATATCTATAGAAGAAAGGCACTGCCTACACGAGTCTGCTATGCTGAATATCGATCTGCCATTATCACATATAGGAAAAAGGATTATAACAAAACGCAAAACCGCAAAGGATCCAGAAAGATTGTTTCGAGCTTCAAGAAATATTGATATTTATTCACGGGGATTATTTCCCTTAGTTTTTCTACTGTTCAATATTGTTTACTGGCCAATTTACCTTCGTGGCGACTTGCATGAAGGTTGATTTTTTAAATAGAAACTATATATTCTAACCAAGACACTGTCGTGATAACATTCGCATCATATCGTGATATACTATCAAAATATAATGATATGTATTTTTACACGTTTTTGCATTGTTGAAACAAAAACAACAGTTTCATATTTTGACGGGGATACAATATGTAATTTGCCCTTCAAAGCAAAACGTCTTAATGCATGTAAATCGCGAATCAGACATCTGCCGCGAAAATTGGGTGATTTGGTATTCAATTTTCTTTTTTATATAGTTCAATGTCGAAATGCCTTAATCTTTATGTATATACCATATTTTTAAGCGTGGAAATTTCCCAAAACGTTATATTTTGAAGCCCCTGTAATGCTAAGGCATTTGTTTGCCGCGGTATCTCTCAGTGAACGGAAAATTGTCAATTATTCCGAGTAATATTGTGCATAACAACTTCATTATACTGTACTTGGAAATGTGAAAAAAGTGTTGGTACAATTATTCTTTCGCACATGCGCATAGTACTTATTGTGAAATTACGTTGCTGTTGTTGATGTTGGATAAAAACAGCTATTTTTGTTTTCAATCTATGTGAATGTTGATTTCGATGTGCGTTTGTTCCTATTGTGTGTACTGCGATGACATTTGAGTTCCGAACGTCGAACTTTTTTTTTTTTTTCAATTATTTGTAAATGAATATTTTCCAATACAAAACATATATATTAAAGGGTATTGCAATCGTTATGCATAAAAATAGACGTCTGTTCAATCCATCTATCTTATCTCAAGATTTGTTCTCCTTTTTTTAAAACAACGCACATTTTTTTTTTAAATTGTAACATTCTAGTATATTGTTGCAGAAAACATGTAATTTCACGTGTAAATAGCAATACAGATACAGTGGTTTGGAAATAGTATATAGAAGGTCATTTGGGGGAGTCAAGTGGTTTTCCTCTCTATAAAATCTGCACAATAATATGTCATACAACTATTTATCAAATCACAAAGAACACTATTTATTCCCCACATGTGAACAATCGTTGGGTAAATTTCAGTTAAAAACACGTCAATGAATGAGACGAGTTACTGGATCGCAGGACAATTGCGTTGATTTGAGTGACGTCACTATCACCTCATTGATATGCAATAGGTTTGATTCGGACAAACAAATCGCTAGTAAAACTCGACAAACCGCTATGACGTAACACATATGTGGCTGTAAATATCAAATCAAATTAACGGGCAAAGTGACTCATCTCAACATTATTTCATTAAGTATCTGACTGTGCAAAAGTACTGTAGCCATAGTATTTGTAGTATAAGTTAATGACTTCCGTTTTGTCATCATGTAGTGATATATACACGACAGCTACATCTCATCAATTTTGCTAGATGAATTTGTACAAGGAATTAATTTACTAGAAGATTACTCTCAATGTTTCTGTTGTCAGTGTAGTGTTACTTGACGTAATGACGAATATCTTATATGGTAACATAAGACAATTAACGTCATCAAATACGTATTTTTAAACTAATGTAATAAGCAACGCCAGGTGATTTCTCTACTTGTGATAAAATCAGCATCGCAAGTGCAGTGGTAAATGCTAACCTGAACTATTAAAAACGTAGAATGTATTCTGCATCACTGTACTTTATCTCGTCTAACTGTCAAATATGGTATATTTAGAAGAACGATTAAAAATACAACGCGAGGTTATCCGATCTTATTTCCAAGTAATAATGGTTTTATGACTTCCTCCGAGGCGTTACTTCCAACATCGGCTATCATTTTGAATTTAGCGTTGGTCAAAATGCATACAAGTCGTACTTTCAAACAATCAGGCATAGATAATATTCAAGCGAAAATCACGAACACTGCTGTGTTGATAGTATTAGCTGCGTCCTCGCTTACATGTATACAATACGTGCCGAATAAATGTATAGCCATAATTTCTAGGAAAGCCATTCAGCAGTGCCTGGCATTTGAATTATACATTGGTGTATAAGTCAACGTTGAACAATTGAATTCTAACTGTGTATATTCGACTTCCAACCAACCACACATACACATAATTCCGTCTCCCAAACATACAATTCCGAGACATGGAATGTCAATACACTCAAAACATGAACTCTACTGGGGTCTAATATGTAGGACACACATAGGTCAAATACATACAAGAATCCGACAAATCTATTAATTTTCCGTTCACTAATTAGTTTGTCATACGTAATTTAGATGCAGCTGGCATAGAATGTATAGTGGTGTAAGTAAAAATCGCACATGTATGTCCTATTTTGTGTGTGCCGAAAAGGAAATTATACAATTTCCGCCATGGTATAGGGTTTTTAAATATGTTTTCCTCATAGTGTACTCATGGCTAGTAGTAATGATACGTGATGATACGTGTACCAATATTACAATGTGTGTTTAATGCAAAGGTGTAAATAATCGGGAGTGCTACGAGTAGTGACAAGACAATTTCATCATGAATGTCATATAACATATGTTGACTTTCTAGGGATTATTTTGGCACAAAAGCAGAATTAATTGGTTTAACCAGGTCACAAAACTAGCATGTGACCATGAGCGGGGTTTTGATGCAAATGATATTTGGAAGCCTCGTTTGAAAATGTTCATGGAGCGCATGATCACTATCCCATGCATGCAAACAAATGTTGTTGTTTTTTCAGGATATCGCGGTGTTTCAAATAGATATATAGATAGCGCGTCAGCATATTTAAGCCCTATGCAAATCAGAATTACTTGGTAGTAAGACACGCTCCTTTAGTCTGAAAGAGGCGTCTGAGCGTTTAAGCAATATACCAGTTCTCCCAAATATATATGTTTGAACTTTTCTACAGTTGTTGATACTAATATACCAATATTATGGCGTTGTTTTGACATTCGAATGTGAGTCGAGTGCTGATTGGACAATGTTGGAATTCGATAACTGCTCTCTTTATATTATGTGCCATGTTTAATACTTCATCAAAACTTAACCCGAGAATGTTGTGTTATGTCTTTCTGAGTGAGATAACAATGTTATAGTCGCATTGCAGTATATAATATAACAATTATTATTATATTTATTACTGTTGCACAATATATCCTATTCATAATGGTTTCCGTGTCCAGGAGAACAGTAGACGCGATGACGTTACAGAATGCCCTATTCAGGTGCAAAGAACATGTGCAATCATGGCGACTTGCATGGCTCGACGAGATCTTTGCGAAATTTCGTCGGCCATTTATGAATAAGCACAATTCGAGTAAACTCACACACCAATTAGGTTAGGAAATTAAATGAGCTTTTATGTCATCAAAATAAAATTAAATGTGGAATCATATTCGGACATTTGGACATTAAAGAATGTTATGACTTCGTCTCGGTATATGAGTGGCTTTGTGTTTCAATTTCATTTTTGTGTGTTAAACTGACAATTTGACATGACGTCTGTGTATTAATATATAGAGAAGGGGATTAGTAATCAAAAAGTACCGGTTACCAGAAACGGTGCATCTCGTCATTCAAATAGACATGGTTTCAAAATGTTGATAACGACATAAAGAGAAACCGCTAAATCTAAGTTAACCAGGTCGTCGCACATAATCCATTCTGATGAGATTGGAGCCCTGTTTGGTGAAAATAAGGTTAGGTCTCCCGACGTAATCGTTCAACTCCGTGTCGAATACAGTGCAAGACATGTTGAAGTGAGCGTCAATCTATGTTGTAACAGTCACTTCTCCGGTATAACGAATATAATTTCTGAAGAATTCAGTGCAAACACGTCGACTTGTAGATTTTGAAATGTATCATTACAAGACCTACGGTTAAAGGTCACAATACTCAGCGGTTCGAAATATGAATCTAATTGAAACACTGGATCTAGAAGATGGCAATACCATTCCCCGTCCTCATTTATGTTATCAGAATGAATGATGAGATCAAAGATGATTCCACCTCTTCTATGAAAGGGCAAGTTAAAAAATCTATATATTGTCTAGTTGACTGTTGACCACACTTGGCATACTCTGAAAGTATGTACGATATAATATTCTTACAAACGATAAATTAGGAGATTGCGCCCTGTCCCCCATTGACATATCGCAGGTGCCACGTGTGGAGCAGGATGTACTCACTCAGCTCTTGGTTGTATACAACTGAATTCATATAACATTAATTAACTGAGTGTTATCATGTTTTGTCTTGTATTTTCCATGTGTGTTTTGTTTGATGGTCCGTGGTTTGGGTACATTACCGCTTACTACCAACAATCACATTCATAACCATGCCTATATATAATATAAAACAGCAAAAGCAAATGGGGGGAGTTCTTTCTTTTCGTTGTATGGCAACAGTCAGTCTCCATACAAATACGTTGACGTTATATAACAAGTCATGGAACTGAATATAACGACATATACTGACAACTAAATTACTTGCAGACGCATTTCTCTTATTATTCTGGAATCTCGGTGTTACATATCGATGTTCGCCTCCCCGATGACCGACAGAAGATTAAATAACATGATAATCTATAATGAAAAGATAAAGTTATAGCAATTAGTTAAGTACTTGGCCCAGGCAGATCTTTTTATAATTGCGATCTTGATCAGATTGGATAGATTACCAGAAGATAATTACTCAGTACCATTACAGCTATTACTTCATGGATTGTTAATGTTCTAGCAGCGCTCAGCACAAAATTTATTACTTTAGCGTACCGACTCACTGCCTTGAAAGACAAGAACATCGGTACAAGGTATATCAAATGCAAATAAAGAAAGAGCAATTATATCTGATCCTTTTAGGATCAATTAGAATCATTAATCTAATTCAAAGATTTAAGTGATATATATCACCTACGACGAACGTGATGACGGTCTTCAATTTAT